GAGGTTAGTGTGACAACTTTGGAGGTTTTGTATCTTTCACAATGCATACCTCTCATTTGTTGGTTGGAAATGGAAGTAAGGGTTGTACAATCAGACCTCGACTTCATTTATAAATATGTCGGAAATAGATACTTCCCTTTATATTGAACTGTGCGCGATTGGGAGGCAACAGTAGGATGTTGTAAATAATTGAACTCGTATACTAGAGTTTTTCTATCAGGGAGTAATTTGCTCGTTCTGTTTTCTATATAGGAAGAAAGACGATTTTTGGAGAAAGGTCAATTTTACTTATTACATTGACTTTTAGAAGATTGTGTTTCGCAATTGAGGCAGTCACCTCTGAATTAGCGTTACCAAATTATTAGCGCTGGGTGCATAGGAGTTTGTGCATATATTCTATGGCACTTGGAGCTATGTAGATCATTCCCTTGTCGACATAGGAGGATTACGTTATTAATTGATACAACCTACGCATTGTATGATTATTGTGTTTCTTAAAATATAGGAATTCTGTATACCACTTGGTATATTGGAGTTAAGTGGAGCCCTTATAGTGAGGTTGCGTCTATTTAGAATATGAGGATGTTTTTCGCTCACAGTTTCCAAGCATAATGGAAGAAAGTAAGGGTGAATTCCGAGGACGGAATTCCTTTTATTAGGGGGGAAGAATGTAATACCCCTAATTTTAAAAGGATAGTCTCGGTATTTATTTATTTGTTTTAATTGTATTTTTTAATTATTTAATTAATTATTTGACTAATTGCTTATGTGTTTAATTGAATTAGGTATTACTTGATTATTTGATTATGTGTCTATGTATTATTTATATTTGTCTATGTGTTAATTGTTTAATTAGATTATGTGCTTAAATGATGTTTTGATTAATTGTAAATTAAATATTTTCTTTTCTCTTATTATTTTATTTTATTTTTCTTTTATGGTTATGGTTAGTAGTAATGGGCCAACCAATTGGATCCCATGGACTACTTGGATAGGAGGTTGGATGTGTATGAATTATTACCCATGGATAATGTATGTGTAAATATAGATATATATTATATACATATATAAAAAGGAAAGTAATTTATTAATTATTTTTATGATAACTTGGATAGTAATATTTAATTTGATGTATATGTTTTATATTTAAATAATAAAAATATACATAGATTTGATACGTGTTATGTTTTAAGTTGCTTTATTATATTATGGTAACTTAAATATTATTGGATAATCCATTAATAAATAATGTAATGTGTATAATTTATTTATTTAATAAACATATACATAAATTATATACGTAACATATTTTGCTTACCTTTTTAATATTTTTATTTTCATTTTTTTTTTAGTTGACTTGGATTGGGAAAAAGGTTAGGGTTATTTTATTTAGCCTATAAATATATAGCTATAGGTTGTAAAAGGGGGTTAGAAATATTCACGTGATATATACTGGAGAGATAGTGTTAGAGAGGGAAGGAGGAAAATGAAGGAATGTGGAGAAAAACCCTGTAGAGAGAAGATCAAGAAAGAAGAAGTTTAACTTTCGATCCGAAAATTTAAGGCAAGTTCTTCTTCTATCTCTTTCCCTTTGATTCGTGTTTCTGTACATGCCTAAGAAATTCCAGGATTTATTAAACACATAAAATTAAATAATTATGCATGTTTAATTGGGTTAGAATATAGGTTTTATGAAATTGGTTCATATCTGTTCTTGTGTTATGAATTGATAAAATGCATGATTTTGATTTGATTTCTTATGTGAATTTTTACATGTTTAAATTATGTATTTTTCCTATCTGTGGAATGATGGAACGTAGAAACATGTCTAGGATTCCTGAACATTAAATAGGGACTAGGTTTGGGTTTTAATAAATTTAAATAGACTCAATCATAATTATGCTTGCTATTTGAATGTTTTAAACAAACGAATGGATTTAATCTTTTAAAATATTTTAGCAATTGAGATTAAATGTGTAGGATGAATTGGATATAGAGAATCCTTATTTAACGGTATAATAAAATATCATCATGCATAAGATTTAGTTTGTGTAAGACATATGATATAGGAAGTTTAAAGAAATAATAAGTCATTCCTATTATGTGATAACTTGATATCATATTTATCATAGTTATTTATGAAATGTTTGATGTATTTCCTTAATTGTTACATCAATTGTTGGATTGTGTGATTTAATGCACCAGTATGGGACGGTGGCATTCTAGGGATGGATTAACTTATCAGTTAAGTCCTACCTATTTTATATAAGGGAATGGATTAACTAAAATGTTAAGTCCTACTTATATTTAAGTCAGGTCAGCTGAACAAGTTGAATGACTTATGGAGGATTAATTTATTATATATGGGAATGAATTAACTAAAATGTTAAGTCATACTTATATTCAAGTTAGGTCAGCTGAACAAGTTGAATGACTTATGGAGGATTAATTTATACTGGATATGATGGTTACTAGATTATATATATATAAGTATGGTGCCATAATATGAGCTTGAGTCTCAGGATCAATGGTTAGGGCGCGTATATCGCCAAGGATGTGTAGTTAGATATAGTGTAGTTGTGTACCCTGGTAGGTCTAGGTACTCATGCCCACTATATGTGCGTTTTACATGTTGCCTACTATTCAGGTTGAGACAACCCTATAGTCTAGTGAGGTTCCTTTATTGTGTATATATATATATACGGACTACTAGTTACTGTTGGATTGACTAGGATGTATACGTGTATCGAATCTCTGCTTGGACTGTAGTAGAGTATAATTTGTTTGTGGGCCTGACCCACCATTATTTTTCAGGTGTTCGTCACGAGTAGAGGTTGTTCGTGCTGAGCGGGGATCAGTCTACTTCATTCTTCCGATGCTACATAGGAGTTCCTTTATGATTCAGTTTCCTATTTTAGATTACTGTCATTTGTTTAGTTTGGATTTTCTAGGGGTCCACACAGTATGAATTCCCGAGTTGTATTTTGGAGGATCAGTTGTATCGGAAGAGTTTATTAATTAATGGAAATATATTATGAGGTTTATTATTAAATTATCATTTTAGTTTCTTGTCAGCATTTTATTTATTCTTCTTTATTCTTTTGTACTCTGTGTTCGTTTATTATCAATTTGTTTTGATATCCTCGGGTATTCGGGCGTGGGCTTAGCCAACCCGCATTCGGAAATTCGGGGGTATCACATAGGGAATCCCTCATTTCGTCATTTTATGACATTAGAGGTCGCGATTGGCGTGATTTCTTTTTGGCTAGTCATTTAGTTGCCTTTGCAATCAGCGTTTTAACATGCCTTCTCAGGTTTTTGCATGCATTTGTTTGGTATCCAAAATCACTATAAAACGCACAATACTTTTTCATTGATACGACATACTGTTTTTTCCATTCATTCCCTTTCAGGATCAGTCGTGGTCTTCCAAACTTTCCCAATGATATGGACGAATCCCTCGCTTCATCCAAATGTGTAAAAGATTCTAGGCGCACTTAAAAGCTGAGTACTCTACCGTTGAGTTAGCAACCCGAAAAGGGTGTGTAGATACAATCAGAATAAAAAAAAATAAGTAAAGAGATTATACGAGGCAGTGGCAATCCAAGCATTTAACTAGCAAAACAAGAAGTGACTGGTCCCATTATAAAGTTTGGAAAACCCGAGTTTCACACAATCCTAAGGCAAAAAAGAAAAATAAAATAAAATAAAATAAATAAAATGCCGGGAAAAAAGAAAAAAGATGACTCGGTTCAAAGATATTGAACCAGTTCAAGTTGGCCAGTATGATTTTTTAAAACGAAGCTTTACTTCTTTAAACCGGTTCAGCTATCTTGAATCGGTTCAAGTTAACCACAGAAGCTGTCCATCATTGGAAGTTTGTTATATCTCATAACCCCTAGAACTTAGTTGCAATTCACTCTTACTGTAGCTGACCTTTAGGGAAATCGTACATCCAAATACAAAATTAAATCATTTAATAATTTATCAAAGCTTGGAGTCCTCGTCTCAGGACCAAGCATCTAAGGAAGAAAATGAAGCAAATGGAAAAACACAGTGCATAACAAATCCCCAAAACAGTTGGAACTTGCGAAAGTGTCTATCCTACTTTTATGAAACTTTAAAAACATAAACTTTTAGGGCCAAATTACTCTTTAAAATTCTTCCCACTTACTATTCTTTAGTGCGCGCTCGTGTATATATATATAATCTTTATTCTTTCCTCTATAATTATTTTTCTCCTTTTTTCCCTCTCCTCTCTAAATTCATATTCGTGAATGATTCCGAAAGAGGAAAAAAAAAAAATTTAAAATCCTTATATGAAAAGATTCTTTCCTTTCCTCTTTTTTTCTCTTTCATTTCATTTCATTTCTTTACGTGTGCATCTATAGATATATATAAATCATATCATATTGTGAAGAGATTCCAATCATCCTCATCTTTATTTCAATGTTTCACATATTAACTAAAACTTAAATTTTACAATTTTATTTCAACCAAAACTCAATCTCATAATATTACTTTAATTAAACTTAAAATGATAAAAATCCAATCCATCAAGGAGCATATATATTAATATAAGACGATTGAACTTTTTCATATAAGGAAAGGGAATAATCTTTTCATATAAGGGTTTATTTTTTTTTCTTCTTCTATCTTAATCATTCACGAATATATGAATTTAGAGAGGAGAGGGAAAAAAAAGGAAAAATCAATAACAAAGGAAAGTATGAAAATTATATTTATATTTATATTTGTATATATATATATGTGTGTGTGTGTACACACGCAGTAGAGGAGAAAGAGGAAAGAATTTTAAAGGGTAATTTTGTCTTAAAAATTTTTGTTTTAAAGTTCCATAAAAATAAAAAATAAAAAATATGCATTAATTATGACTTTTATGATTTATATTTTGACCAATCAGTAAATGCTGACTATATAGCTCAAGACTACGGCTAGCACTCCTCTATGAAAATCCAATGTATACCACCACATGCATGTTTACATAATTTGTACGATTGAAAATTTTCAATTTATATTGAAACACAAAGTACACTATACTGAGGAGAATAAAATGAAAGAATTACATATTTTGAGGTCATTCGTCTGTTGTGTCCTCAAAATGTTACAAAGAAAGAATTGATGATGGGCTGTACATTTATATAGGCTTAATTGTTGAACTGCATAACCTTTGGTGCAAACCTCAACAATCTGTCCAATGCATGAGTGGAGAACTTCCTTGCAAACAAGAAGCACACATTGGTTGTATTCCCATTGTACTCACATCTGCTGTCACTCCTCATCTTCTCCAAGAACTCTATGGTCACATGGTTTCTCAAAAAACTAGCCGGGTGGGGCCCGCCTCTCGACCAGTCGACCCGAGTCAAAGTCCGGTTCGAATTCCTCTCCCCAAACCTCATGCTCACAAACGTTGGCAAGTAGTGTTCATCAGCATAACACGAACCCTTGCAGTGCTTCTGAAACAATGGGAAATACTTCTTGTCAGAGATGACCTCTATGGCAAGGTCTCGATCCATCTCGAACCATTGTGATCCTTTCCTCCATTGTTCGATTCTGATGGTAGGACTCATTTGATGTCTATATCGCCCACGACCAACTGGCCCCTCTAGGTCATAGGCCTCTACGAAATTTTTGGTGGAGTTGATGAGGTGAGAGTAAACGGTAGAGAAATTGAAGAGAGGAATGCATGATTCCGAGAGTAGAACGAATCGTTGGTTTGAGATGTCGAGAAGAGCATTGCCTAGTAGGCGACGCTCTGCTTCTATCATGTTCACCTTTCCCCATTCGACTCCCTGCATCATATAGTAAAATTGTATAAGATATGGTTCATCAACTAATCAAATGTGACATAAATGTGACCCTATATATGTGTATATGTGTATGTATCTACGTCATATTGTCGTGAGAAACTTCAACTTTGGTTTTATGGTTGTTACATGCAGCAGTGTTATGAGAGCAACTTGTTCATGTTGACTTTTCTTTGTTTGTTGAAATGTTGTTTCAATTGTATAGATTCTCCACCATTTAAAAACTCTAAGACGTGTATGGAATTTTTGCAAATTATGAGAATTCAGAAAGGAAGAAGAATCTTCCCCATAACGGCCTCCACCAACTGCAATTCTATGACCGACTTACAAGGTTTAGCAAAGCAAATAGTTGCTTTCATATTTTAATTTGTCACATCAATCCGAAGTCCAAATTTCTTTATAATATGAAAGATAAATATATGTTTTATATAAGAGCTTGTAATTTTACATCAATCATTGGAATCACCTAACAAATTGTCAAGTAAATCTGTGGTCAGGTGAATTCAATAATAGGCTTACGTTGGCATTTCAGCCTTCTCCTTTCAGGACTCTTCGTGCGGACAGAAAAAAATTAAGGTAGCAAAAGAGCCAATGGCCAACTAACAATCAAACAATCAAAGAAATTTTATTATATTATATCCCTTCTAAGATCATTCTATTTTGACAATGAAGCAATGTACTGATTCTTTACTTCGTTGGGGGTCACAAAGATAAGGTTTTGTACCTTCAAGTTGGGGGTATAGTCCATTTTGCTTTTAATGTACTTAATATGCGTGCCCTAATTTTTGGTCACACACAAGCCAACCAATTTAATGCTATTCCGGAATGGGAATTGCATTGATTTGGGAGAACATGGATCCAAGTACACCTATATTGCCTTGACAATAACAGCTAGTTGATTGCTATTCAATATATTCTTTCCCCAATTTCACTTCATTCACTAATTTAATTAATTGGTTAAAATAAGAATCAAAGTCTAATTTAAAACGCAATAACTTTTTTAATAAACGTAAGTGGTTAATTAATTCTCTCCTACGACTAATGTTTGTTTTGACAGAAAATATTCATTCAAGAAACTAGTCATAATATGGAATTGATGAAGATGTCGAGAAACTATATGTTAAATGACTGACCTTACTGGGAATTCTCCGACCTTGGAATACTGAATTTCGAGGCTCTGATCCGTTGAAAGACGGATCAGAGTGGACGTAGATCGAGTAGAGCCCTTCATGTCCTTTGAAGAACTTCTCCCACAACGGGGCTAGCAACACCGGTCCTCGAGTCAAGAACATGAAGGCAACCTTTGGAACTCTCTTGAATGGAAATTCTTGAATCCTCGGAGTCATTGAGGCTCTCCATAGCAATTCACCATCCTCCATGTCGTGCATGACGCGAGGCGGCTTTACATAATCTCCCAGTCCAATATGAGTGCTACTATTGTTGGAATCTCCGGTGGTTGGCGGGATTGATGGCGGTGCTGGTGGCGCTGGCTGCATTGGCGGTGGCGGCAGCAGTGGCGGTGATTGTGAAGTGGAGAGGGATAATTGAGTAACGCGGAGATTGAATGAGAAGTTTTGGAGATGGAAACTGAGTATGATACCAAAGGTGAGACCGAAAGCAAAGATGATGACATATGAAAGGAGATTAGCAAACTGGAATGGTGCATTGAAGAGCTTCATAGCTGAGGCCAATACTGGAATTTGTTGATTTTGAGTCTTCATTGTTCTTGACGGAGAAAGCAAGCAGAGAGAGAGAAAAAAAGGAAGTATATGCCGAATTTAAAATTGAAATTCGATGTTTCCTTCTCAAAACCACAGAAAAGGGTATCTCTGTATCAACTTCTATATATATCTCTGTATCAACTTGTATAGAATATGATATAGATATGAATATGTATGTCGTTGGAAAGGGGAATCAAGAGGAAGGAATTGAACAGAGAGAAAAGATGGAGGATGCGCCAAATTTGATGGAGAGGGCCTGCAGCCTTTGTAATATGTAAGGGTTGGAGTAGGACTCTTAATTTGAAGTTTCAACTTGTATTCAAATACTGGTTTAATTTGTATAAAAATATGTTGTCGTATGTGATGTGTGACTAGGAAAGTGCAAAGTTTGTAATTAATTAATAAACGTAAACACCATTTTATGAATAAGCACTCGTATGATTGGTATCAAATGGGGTCTCTAATAGTCTTAATTTTGGGTGTTACTTATTCTGGTATTTATTAAAACACGTATATGGCGGAACCAAAGTCTTGACTAGGCAAGTCTACCTTCAATTACGGTGGATGGTCCAAACACGCCCCTCTGGCAGCTAGGAAACTCGCAGCGAACGAAAGGTCAAAATATCTTTGTCCAAACACGCCCAATCCGTGCTTGCCCTGTTTCTAGTTTTTATTTTTTAAAATATAATATAAATATAAATAAATGAATTGAAAAAAAAGTAGTGCCCTGTTTCTAGTTTTATTTTTTATATCTATTTTATTTTTAAAAATATAATAAAAATAAATTAAAAAAAAAAGTTGAAAGGTCAACCTAATTCCATACTAAATCCTAGCATATAGAATTTGCCGATTGTATTATACTTTTCTACGTTTGTATTTCATTTAAAAAAAAAAAAAAATTGACACCTCTACTCCTAACTTCACAAATTAATGATATATATTTTTATATTTCACAACTACAGTCCCGCCTCTCTTTCTAATTTTTCGTCTTTTCTAGCAGGACCCATTCAAAAAAAAAAAAAAATTTCTATAAAAAAAGGGACCCAAAAGTAAACACCTCTACCCCTAACTCCACGTTAATGATAATTTTTATTTTTATTTTTATTATTTTTATTTTTTATATTACACAACTACCCTTATAAATATGGTTAGTCTCACCTTTCCTTCCAAATATTAATATAAAAAACCGACCCAAAAATAAACTCTTTGTGTATTGCATTGTGTCAATAAAGTTCCTAAAACATATTAAAAAAAAGTTTACATGTGAAGACAAAAGCATGAATTAAGCTTTTATTTCATTTTTTGGAATATAAGAGCATCTCAGTCGTCTGTTAAAATACTTTTTTGTGTAAAATATATATTACGTATAGAGTAATATATATTTTTTAATCTCTAACAGTCAGTTAAGATACATTGCCAAGTCACCAATATATAAAATTATTGTGTATTTTACAACCTTTTTACACAGACACATTAACATATTTTCTTTCTCATTCCTCTCTTTTATTCCATTAACTAATCAAACCTAAAAATTATGTGAGGTTCAGACATGATACTGGTTGATTGTTATTGGATGATATATTTTTATACAAAATGTATAAATAAAACAATCACTAGAGCTAAAAATAAATAATAGTTTTATAAACTATTAAGACATATCATATATATATATATATATATATGTAGTGTCTAGGTTTAAAGAAATAAAACTTATTTCCCAATCTAACAATAGTATATATATGGCTGGTAAAAATCTATCCCTGGTATATTATATATTAATATGTAGCAACCCAAAAAACTTGCCATGAATCGAGTCCAGCGATCAAAAAGGATACTAAAAACTTGTATTCTTCATTTATTTATTAATACATCTAGCTGAATTTGTAAAAAAAACAATTCCGAGTTCATTATATGCATTAGCATGCTACATAACTTGCCATGAATCGAATTATTGTTAATATTTCTAATATCTCTATTCCATGTCATTAAAAAGAGAAAAAACAAAGAAAAAACAATTGAATTGTCGTGATAAAAGCATTTTTTTTGGCATTCTTATTTCTATTTTTTTGCTTATTACATTATAAATTAAAAAAATGCAAATGCACCAATGTGAAAGTCCTCCAGATTTGGTCCATTTTGATTGCTTTGATATTTATTATGATATTGATTAATTTAGACTAATTTTATCAAAGTCACTTACACCGTAACTGTAACCGATTACGATGTGCCAACTATGATTTTTGCGCATCATCACAAATCACATGGCATAACGGAAGGTCCATCGTCCTATTCTAGATAGAACCCGATCCAAGACTTCCAAGTCTGCTGTCTGCCATATTGACCTTGACCCAAAAAGGTACACTTGTCCTTCCTTCATTGACTATAAAAGCCATCCATTTTTTTTTTACATCAGTCTGACAGCTGTAATGGTCCTACTGGACTCACAAGGCCCGTAATCCACAACCCAGTTGTTTGTGGGCTTTGACTTATCCAATAATGTTACATTTTCTGTAGTTTGAGATCAGCTTTAGCAAAGCTTAGCTACTCACAAAATACTACCACAACTACGATATGAAAAACATGTACAGTTATATAGGCCTAATTGTTGAACTGCATAATCTTATGTGCAAACCTCAACAATCTGTCCAATGCATGAATGGAGAACCTCTTTGCAAACAAGAAGCAAACCCTAGTTGTATACCCATTGTACTCACAATTGCTTTCACTCCTCATCTTCTCCAAGAACTCCAGGTCACATGTGTTCTCATATGTGTAGTCGAGTGGATCCCATCTCTCGACCAGTCAACTCAAGTCAAACTTCTGTTAGAATTCTTTTCCCCAAACTTCATACTCACAAATGTTGGTAGGTAGTGTTCAACAGCCCAACCTGAGCCCCCAAAATGGTTCTGAAATAATGGAAAATATTTCTTATCAGAGATGACTGCTACGGCAAGGTGTCGATCCATCTCGAACCATTGTGACCCTTTTCTGTTGTGGTTTTGTGGAGTCTAATTAGGTGAAAGATTTTTAGAATATTTAATTATATGAAAATTTCAAGACTACTGAATTTTATGGAAAATTCAGTTTTCTAATCTGTTTTAACTTTCTTATTGGTTTTGGATTTTACAAAATGCAAATTCTTGTAGGACAAATTATTGAGGGTTATATATATCAACTCTAATCAGATATTAGGATGTGGTAAAAATAGAGAGAAGCAAAAAGAGAGGATCATCACATGTGTTGTGTGATTGATTAAATGTGGCAATACAAGAAAGAGCAATTGAGAGAGATTGAGAGAAAATTCTCCATTGTAATTCTTTATCTTCTTTATAGTGAATTTGTTCGGTATGCTCCATGGAAGTAGCCCTAAGATTCGGGTGAACCATGTATATCTTGTGTTCTTGTGTGTGATTTTTTCTATTTTTCGTGATTGCTTATTTATTCCTTGAACATCATTGTTATTTGCGTTTCTGCCACAACAATTGGTATCAAATCCGGTTAATTATGCAGAGCAACTCCAACATTTTCTCCATTGTTCAATTCTGATGTCTGGATTCATTTGATATTTATATCGCACATGACTAGCTGGTCCCGGTTTGTCTTTGGCCTCTACGTAGTTTTTGGTGGAGTTGATGAGGTAAGAGTAAATGGTGGTGAAGTTGAAGAGAGGAAAACATGTTTTTGAGAGAAGAACGAATCGCTTGTTTGAGTTGTCAAGAAGAGCATTGGCTAATAGGCGGCGCTTTGCTTCGATCATTTTCATCTTCCCCCATTCAACTCCCTGGATCATTTGGTAGAATTGTATAAGATATAGTTCATCAATTAATAAAACTTGACAACTATTTTCTTTTAAAAAAATCTGATAACTAATATTGTTGTTTATATGATTGGGTAGTTTCTTGAGGTTCTCGCCTCTTATTTGCTAAAATATCTGACATAGTATGTATTTATAGATGGAGCCATGTAAATTAGGAGTGACCAATATATCACAGTCCCCCTCCTCTTAAAGGAGTTACAACTGCCATGAAACAAAACAAAAATTCAAACTATAGTTAATCATTATAATTTATAAGGTTGTTAGAATCGCGATTGTAGGTCATAGAATAGCATGATTTTACAATTTCAATACCTCATAAATTGTGTTTTTGGTAGAATTAAAGTAGAATTGTTAAAGTTTCATAAAAATAGAAAAGATGCATTAATTATGACTTTTATGATTTATATTTTGACCAATCATAAATACGACTGTAGCTTGCGACTACCGCTAGCACTACTCTATGAAAAAATTTCCAATGTACACCACATGCATGCTTACATAATTTGTACGATTAAAAATTTTCAATTTGTATTTAAACACAAAGTACACTATATTGAGGAGAATAAAATGAAAGAATTACATAATTTGAGGTCATTTGTTTGTTGTGCCCTCAAAATGTTACAAAGAATTGATGATGGGCTGTACATTTATATACGCTTAATTGTTGAACTGCATAACCTTTGGTGCAAACCTCAACAATCTGTCCAATGCATGAGTGGAGAATTTCCTTGCAAACAAGAAGCAAACCCTAGTTGCATTTCCATTGCCTAGCAGGCGACGCTCCACTTCTATCATGTTCACCTTTCCCCATTCGACTCCCTGCATCATATAGTAGAGTTGTATAAGATATTGTTCATCAACTAATCAAATGTGACATAGTATGTATTTATAGACGGAGCCATGTAAATTAGGAATGACCAATATATCACGGCATTGTCCCCTCTTCTTAAAGGAGTTATAAGTGCCTTGATACAAAACAGAAATTCAAACAATAGTTAATCATTATAATTTATAAAGTTGTTAGAATCACAATTGTAGGTCGTAAAATAGCATGATTTTACGATCTCAATACCTCATAAATTGTGTTTTTGGTAGAATTAAAGTAGAATTTTTGGTAGAATCATAGAATCAGTTGTCTTTTCTTTTTATTTTTTGGGCATTTGATCATCTTGGAATTTTGATACGCATCGTTGATAGTGATTTTCAGTAAATATAGGGGATGGTTTTTTCTGGGTGTGTTGTTCTGTTTTAACTTTCTGTTCTGGATTTCTTGGTTTTAATTTTCTTTAGTTTTGATCTAGTAAATTGTTAATTACTTGGCATTAGACTATTAATTTATTGTTAGTTTGGTGTTTAATGTTCATATAATGAAAATTTGTATACTCATTCCTTTAATACATGCATATATTTTTTATAGACAAAAGTCTAATACCCAATTTTTATATAAACAATAGTAGTTTATTTGTAAATTGTTATAATAATAATTATAATTTTTTACTTTTTAACGAACCTTGGTTGATTCCTCTTGCGACTTAATACCTAGCA